AAATCCCTTCTCCCTTTACACTTGGCACAATGCAGTCAGGCAAGTACCATTTTCCTGGCACCTGCCAAACCCATACCAGATAGGGAAACAGCCAGACTGGACCCAGAATTCACATACCCTGCCCCTGGTCTCAAACTATTAATAGGGCTGTCCAGCCACCTATTGGACAACCTACCCAGGGACTGGCTGTATTCCCATAAATATTCAAGCTGCCTCCCTATTCTTCCTGCCACTATGATTCTACAATCCTCTAGAATACAGGGGGAAGCAATCAGTTCAGCAGCCTGTGAGACACTGAACAGACTAAATTAATCAACCCTTGCTCCACTAACTACAGAGGAACTAAACTAAATTTACCCTACAACCTAATCTAACTATGAGGGTGAAGACTCTTAGGGGTTTATTTACTAAAGCTGGAGAGTCCAAAATCAGACTCCCTTCTGCATAGAAACCAATCAGCTTCCAGGTTTCATTGCCAAAGCCTCATTGAACAAGCTGAGGTTAGAAGCTGATTGGTTTCTATGCAGAAGGGAGTCTGATTTTGGACTCTCCAGCTTTAGTAAATAAACCCCTTAATGTCATCAGCATTACTGTTTGGTAAAACTAAAATATGTTTTACAACTCACCAAAAAGTGAAATCATAGCGATCCTATAACAGCAGATTTAATTTTTGAAATGTGGGATCACAGTTTCAATAGCTACAAACAACTAATGAATTGCCTTGCAGTGTTTTGAAGGTATGCCATCCCTCCTTTAAAGTATAATTTTCTTCTGAGGAAATTAGAAAGTTATTGTACCACAACTGTAGACATGCTTGAAAATTCAGTATAACAGACTGAAAACTGTATCATATAGTGGCATTTTCTTCTGCCAGCTGTCACATAGAATTGTGCAATATACTTAAAAAAGACATCCACATATTTTTTTTCAGGATCTGTTTTGTTGTGAACAAATCATCTTGATCCAAGAGGTTTGCAGGGTTTTCTAATTCTGTGTTCAATATATGAGGTTGTGTACTAATGACTTTTAGATTAGAAATCCGCTAAGAGTTTAGATAGAGCAGAGAGAACCTTGTGAAGAATTATTTTTTCTTGATTCAAAAAAGTGTCAAAAAAGTCAGATGCACACAGTGTGATAGCGTTGCACGCAGAAAGAGTAAGTAAAGTTAATTTTGGGATAAAAAATTAATTCTTTCATTCTTCCTAATTGTGAATCTGTTCCACTCTGCAACTCTATATATGATTTGATGGTAGGCATCTGGTCTGGAATTCTTCTAACAGCTTTCTCAACTGAAAGCCAATGTGTTTCTTCTACCTATAGTACTGCCTTCTACCCTAGTGTTTTCAGAAGAAAATTGAAAACTAAGGTTACAGTTAAACCTGCAATCACACAGTGTCCATTTTAAACTAGGAGAAGTGGAGAAGATGACATAAACATGCTGGCTTTGGTTACTAACCACTTTCAGTAGGCCTTTAAGTCTTCCTGTGCTACTTGCATTGTCTACTGACAAGCTCACACAATTTCTACAAGGAATACTAGATTATATAAATTTATCCACCAGATGAGAGAGCATTTGCTGAACAGTCTTATTTGCAGAGCAGTATCTCTAGCTTTGCAAGTTGTAATTTGCAAGAGGAGGGTTCAAAAACATAAACTAGCAAAGGGTAAGGTGTTTCACCGTAGACCAGGGGTCTCCAAATGTTCTATACAATGGGCCAGTTTACTGTCCTTTAGAAATTAGGGGGTCTGGATTGTGGACAGCGGAAGTAGAAAATGTCCTGGATTCAGTGGGAAATAAATTACATAGCACCTTTGGTCAGTGAGAGAACCCAAAATTGTATCAATAGGAGGAACAGTGCCCCATCATTGGTATCAATAGGAGGAATAGTTCCCCGTTATTGGTATCAACAAGAGAAACATTGCCCCATCATTGGTATCAATAGGAGGAGTAGTGCCCCATCATTGGAGACAGTGGGAGGACTATTGTCCCATCATTGGCATCAGAGAAGAATAGTGTCCCATTGTTGGTATTATTGAGAGGAATAGTGCCCCATCATTGGTGTCGGTTGGATTGGAGGAATAGTGCCTTTTATCAGTGGGAAGAATAGTGCCCCAAGGGCCGGATAAAGCTTACCAGAGGGACGCATTTGGCCCACAGGCCAAAGTTTGGAGACCTGTGTCATAGACAATATTGCTTCCATCTAGACACAAGGTAAATGGTTCCTTTCTCAATATCATTGAGAGCCCTGGTTCAGTTTGGTGCCAGTGCATTACTGATCATGGCTATGCACTAGCGACGTCCTCATGAATATTTCTTTGCAGTTACAGAGTCTGTGAACATTCTGCCAAACAGTGGATCTTCATTGCCAGATGCAGTCATGGCTAGGTTATGTTCAGTCAAAAACCCTGTAAAGAGTGTTTTAACCTCAATTGTTTTATAAAAACAGATCACTTTTCCATTACAAAAATTATTTCTTTGCTGAGCTCTATCCTCTTACAGAGCTGATATCTCTTATTAGACTGTACTTTTTATGTGCATTTTGCAGTCATCAAGACATTTATGGGCTATTGAAATATCCAAGCAACACCCTGAGCAATAAATGTATTTTTTCACTTTTCTTGACTTTTTCAGAATTGAGTATGCTGAAGTATAACATTTGACGAAGAGGATTTTTTTTTCTATTCAACAACTAGCAAACACTGTTAATCTATGATAACTGTGTTATTTTAACTGCTACTGCACTTTGTTTTAATTTTTTATCTATTTTTTTTGCTGTCTGCCATAGAAAAACATATATATCAGAAAAAAACACTACTAACCACCCACAAATCTAAGCAAAATAAATGTAACAATCATCAGGAGGAAAATAATCAATATCACTTACCTTGTCCTATTCAGTCCCAGTGACTGAAAATGGTATCTTGAGGTAGTTCAACATGTGTAGGCTTGGCAGTAAATATAAAGTAGATTTGGTTGCTTTTGGTTCCAAGTACGGCAATGGGTGGATTCACAGTGAAGGCACGTTTATTCTGGATAAGAAAAAGGAAAATTCTACATAAAGGTCAGGCAAGCATAACTGCTAGATGAGGATACAGTAAAACTTACCAAGTGCTGTAGGTGACAGGTTCAACCTTTGACAGACTCTGGTAGAAGGCAGGCTTGACTGCAGGTACAGGGTACAGTGAAGGTCCCTTGGATGGAATGGGTAAGATTTCAGAAGGAAGCACAGGTAACAGTAGCAGTCACTGTCTGTGAATCAGGAAAACCTCAGTGCAACAACAAATGAGCATAACCATTAAGTATGACAATGAAATAAATCATATGACGTTGGTGACAGGTCCTGTCTTGGGCAGACTTCTTCAGGAGGTAGATGCTGGCTAGACTGTGGGCTCAGGGTGCATTGGTGGTCTTTTGGATGTTGCAGGTAAGATTCCATGTGGATGCACAGGGTACTTATTTAATAGTAGAAGTCATTGTTTGCAAATCAGGAACATGACCTCAGTGCAACGAGCAAATAAACATGACCATTAAGTACAAGGACAATAGAATGCTCACTAGGTGGTGCTGGTGACAAGTTTGAGCTTTGAAAGATGCTTGCAGGAGACAGATGCAGGTGTTACCTGTGGGTACAAGGTGCAGAGTTGGTCGCTTGGATGGCACAGGTAAGATTCCTGGAGGAGGCACAGGAAACTTGGTTGACTGTAAGTGTTACTGTAGGTGAAAGTGGATGACCTCAGTACAAGGAGCAGAAAGATGAACTGTCTGTTTTTTGTGATACTGTCAGTCACAGCACCAGAATAAGAGTTCTGTGTGCAATATCCAGGAAGTCAATGACAATGTCATTTTTACAGAAAGCAACAGTGCTGCATACTTAGCATATTTTTCATTAGCGATATAATATGTACATTATTGAAATTGTGTTGCTTACAAGAAAAATTCATCTGTGCCATACTTCCACAGCAAGATTTTGCACAACAACCTTGCCTCCAACCCATGCACATCATACCTAATACTAGCCAGCCAAAACATTTATTAGGTAATAGCTAAATAGTCAATGGGTGATAGAAGTGGAAACTAATCGAAATAATTGATATCCATGGGATAGCATTTAAAGCTGAAGTTTAGCATTTTTTTAAACCAGCGCAAGGAAAGGTACTTACATTGAATAAAAAATGCCTGTCAGGGAATCCCTGTGAGATGTCTGGCTCGCAGACATACGCATACGCATGGTGTTTTCCACAAGATGGTGGCCAGGTGCAAATGCACATTCACAATCCCCACTGGCACCAGACGGCTATTTAAAGGATGCTTATGCCCATGTTTTGTGCTGACTGGTTTTTAGCTGTTCCTGTATCTTGTTGTATCTTGGGTCTGACCTCCATTGCTGAATTGGCTTGCTATTGACCTGATCTTGGATCCTGACTGCTTCTCTACCTACCCGTTTCTGACCTTGGCTCTGCCCTTGACCAAGCTTCTGTCTATGCCTCCGTATTGCATTGCCTGTCTGCTGCTGACCTCGGCTAGACCAGTGACGTTGCTGTCTCTGATTTGGCTCTGTGTTATCTCTGTGTGCCTGCTGTGGCTGTCACCCACATCAGCTTCAATCATCACAGTGTTCCTGTCTTTAGTCTGTTGGAAGCTCTGACAAGCCCTATGCCCTGAACCTGCAGTGCATGTAGAGTGCTCCTTTTACCTCAGCTGGCTCATCCTGTAAGGATGCTGCTCCTGACCTGATGTCCTGCCCAGGGGCGGACTGACCATTTGGAAACTCGGGCACTGCCCGAGGGCCCGGGGTCATTAGGGGGCCCCATGAGATGCCCCTGGTACCTTTTTTCATACGCTTTTTTGAGTTTGGGCAAGGACACAGGGGCCCCATGACCCCCTATTGCCCGGGGACCCCTTGAGTTGTCTGTCCGCCCCTGGTCCTGCCAGACTGTTTCAGCCTTCTCCTATTGAAAGTTCTAGCAGCAACACCTGCTGACACTCATGTTCCTCCTATCCCTCAGCACCATCTGTCACACCTTCAGTGGGGCCTGGGCTGGGGTATACAAGAGAGGCCAACCTCGTTATCTCAGTCTCTTATCAGGTACGTGACAGTGCCCCTTTATACTGGTGGCTGCTCTCATAGTAGAGATCTTCAGTCCTCTGCCCTACCCCTCCACGTACCCCCACAGTGGTAATCTTCTGGTGTTGCAGGGGTTAATAAGAACCACTGGACCTGTCAGAGGCATTCTCCAAGAGAGCTGACTATGCCCACCCTTTCCACCCACTCCTCCATTTATAGAAGCTGTACTATAGCTTCCAGCAGTGAAAAGTGCTGAATAGAGGATGGACAGACAAAAAAAGGTTCACCTTCAGCAACAGTTTCAAGTGTCATAGTATTCCTTCTTAAGCCATGATACATCATAAATGAGAATTCTACCCTAGTGCTAATATATAGTGTCATAGTCATTTAAAGCATTAAGGCAGAGTTTGCACTAAAATGCAAGGCCCTTTCATAATATTCCCACGCTCATACAAAATCAGTGCAATAAACTGTAAAACAAAACAAATATACTTACCTTACTCCCAGCTGCTGGCTGTGTCATCTAGGTAAGCGTGCTGTCACAGTTCTTAGAATGAGATATTGGGAATGTCAAAGATCCTAGGTCTCAGAAGAAGACTTTCCTGCACTGCGTTAAATTAACATCTCGTGATATTTGGGATACAAAGGATTTCATAGGATCCCACAGGATGGAAGCTTACATAATCCAATGCAGTGCAGAAGCTGGGGTAAAGTAAGTATATTTACTAACTCCACACATGCTTTGTTTTACCTTTTATTGCAGCAGTTTTGTAAGGGTAAGGGAGTCATGGTGTAATGAGTGGACCTCCCAATTTAGTGCAAGCAAATAAAAAAATAATAATTTTGTATGAACTGGTGATCCCTCCTCCTGAATATGAATGACAGTTGTTTACTTACCTTTTCTTTCTGTATCCCAAACATATTACATTGTTATTTCTTATTAAAATAGGTAGTCCTTAATATTTTGTTTAGTGTTTTTGAAATAATCGATTGAGTCACCTAAAACCAGACTCTGTGGAAGACTATTTCTCACAGCTCTTACAGTAAAGAACCCTTTTTACAATAGTCTTCTATAGCACTTCATTGGTTTTTGTATTTAATCAGTTTAAAGAAAGCTTTTGATAAACTAAAAGAGCATATTAACAACAACTGAAAAGATAAACTGTAACGATTAACTGCTTAACCTCCGCACTATAGCAGATTTACTGCTACAGGGTGGACATTCTGTGCAAAATCACAAATATAAACGTGATTTATAACATCTGCCATGGGGGCGTGTGTTGCCTTTGCGCTGTTTCTACTGTCATTGGACACAGCAGAAGCTGATCAACAGGTGCCAGCCAATGGATGAGCACCGGCACCCGTTGATCTATGTAAACAAGGCAGAGCTGTGTTCTGTCAGCGGCAATCTGCTAGATTTTCTTTTATGCAGTGACAGTTTATTTTTTTTGCACTGATCATTGTATTAGTGTCACTGGTTCCCACAAAGTGTTGGTTAGTGTCAGTCAGTGTCAGACTGTCTGCAGTAATAACACAGTCCAGCTATAAGTATACAAAAATATATATATGTATATACTATAAAAATTCCAGTATATATATCATAGTTTGTAAATGCTATAACTTTCACGCAAACCAATTAATATACGCTTATTGTGATTTTTTTTTCCAAAAAATGTAGCAGAATACATTTTGGCTTAAATTTATGAAGAAATGTGATTTTTTTAAAACTTTTTTATTGGACATGTATTATAGAAAAAATAAAAAAAATTGTTTAAAAAAAAAATGTCTTTTTTCATTTATAGTGCAAAAAATTAAAAACTCGGAGGTGATCATATACCACCAAAATAAATTTCTATTTGTGGGGAAAAAAAACTATAAATGTATTGTATGTACAGCATTGCATGACCGCGCAATTGTCAGTTAAAGTAATGTAGCGCCATATCTCAAAAAATGGCCTGGTCATGAAGGGGGGTAAATCTTCCAGAGGTCAAGTGGTTAACCTTATATTTGTGTATGGATCTAACCCATGACCTGGAGACATTTTGAAATGCCTCCACTTTTATGTAGTGGAGTAAAATATGTATGCCTCTCTTTCATCTCCATTGCATCACTACCCCATGCTTGGTAACAGAGCAGCCTGTTGACAATCATTATGTTGCCTTATGGAAGTGGAAGGTGTGCCTCTGTGTTTGCAAATGGTGAATTTAAGAATCTTGTTCTTTAATGGGCATTTCAGGAGGACACCAGATAAATCTTATATCCTAACAGCTTACGTATTTTCTCACCTGTCTGCTCAAAGTCAACTTGTCAGGAGAAAGGTTTAGGGATGCCATTAGTGACCTCCTTTGGAATATTTTAGTTGACTATTGTTATGTTGACCCCCTTTCCTCAAGACTTTCTGATTTGCTGACCTCAAACAATTAAGCAAATTGGGAAAGTAAAAGTAAATTCAGACATTGTTATTTGTATACAGGGTTGCTGTTAGAAACTACGTGGCCCCATACAGCCAACCTGACAGGGCCCGCCCCCCCAAAAAAAACTCTGTTTACTATGCTTCAGTTATGAATGAACACAGTGAGTGATCAATACCGATCATCACTCATTGTATTCATTCATTGAAAGGAAGGGGCTGGTAAATGTGACATATTTACCGAGCCCTTCTTCCACTCTCCATCCTGAAGGATGTGTGCTTACAGTTGGCGGTGTGAAGGAGAGGAGGCAAACCTGCAGCACTGCGGGGTGGGGGCACACAGGAGGGCTTGGGCAGCAGGGGGAAACATATAGTGCACAGGGAGGGTTTTGGGGTGCGGCGGGGGGGACAGTTACTGGAACTGATCTCCTGCATGGCTCTCTCTACAGCAGCTGAAAGACAGCAGGAGGGAGGAGGAGAAGAAAAACAATCTTTAAGCTGCTGCAGACAGAGCCATACAGGGGATTGGTTCCAGTAATTGCCCCCCAAGCTGTGCTGATCACCCTCCCTGCCCACATCCAATTCACCTAGTTACCTGGGCCCCCCTGCTGGCCTGGGCCCCATACAGGAGGACTGGTGGTACCCCCTTATCCACGGTCCTGTCTGTATACTTCATTAAGGTTGTTCATAAATTCATAAAAGTAAATTCCAGGCAGATAAATCATTAAAGTGATACTAAACACACACTGTTTAATTTACATTATCCCTTCTCTTTCTGCATATGGATGATGGCACTGTAAATATTTTAATTTAAAAAAAAAATTAGAAAAAAGTAAGTACATTTTTCCTAATCGATATACAGCTGTCAGATGACCCAGCTCTTTCCCAGTCTGTCTGCAGGGAAACATAAGCAGAAGGAGCTTCTAATACTCTGCTATTAGTTACATGTCCAAAATACTAAAAAAATAGCTCTCCATACACAGAGCAAAAATAAATAATTAACATTAATAAACTGTTTTAAATCATCATACAGATACTGTATATAGTTGAAATCAGATTGTTATTATTTTTTTGTAAATACCATGATGTGGCTGCCAGTCACATGCTGTGTCATATCCCTTCAGCCTGTGCCTTTAAATTAGGAGGTGATGCCTCTATCAGTCAAGATGTAATATCCCACTCCCAATGTTTTTAGCAGGTTAATGGGCATAGAGGAAGAGGGAGGGAGTAGGCTGTCGTTTAACACTGTATATGCCCACATATGTGACTCTCTAGTCACATGGGCTACTCAGATGTGATAGGGAGGAAATACTCAACATAGAAACTCACAGCAAACTGAGCATGTGCAGTAGTTTGACAACACTGCTCTGCAAAATCCCCAACTGCACTGGGGACATGGACAGGTTAGAGAGATAGAGAACAGCAGGATCATTCAGGTTTTTTGCACAATACAGAAAACGAATCTTATAGTGACCGAATGAGTATGAACAGCATGTAATACAGCATTTATTGATAGTTTTTATGATGTGGGTTTAGTGACACTTTAAATGTATTTCTTTTATATGCAAGTAGTGTAAGTACCTGAAGTTGGCTTGGTAGCAGCCTCTTGCAGTCCTGCACAACAGACCTCAAAGAGATGGAGGGAGAAACAAACAAAAGAATCTATCACTGCAGTACTACAACCAATCAGATGTGATGGAGAACAAAAGCATGCTGTTAGGAGGAGAGAGCAATAGAGAGGCAAGCTCATCAGTGTGCTTCTTCACCTTGTGTGTGGAGGAGAATTGTAAGTGAAAATGAAACTGCATCAGAAAAAATTTGAGTCTCCGCCACTACCAGACAGGCGTGTGCTGTGGAATGAAGCTGTGTAATCTCAGAACTGGATGGAAAGAAATACACATTCTTTGGCAGCTCTCATTTCAGCTATGTATTATACTGTTTGCCTGGAGTTAAAGCAATGTAGTCAGGTTTATAGCCAGGCAAGTAGATTTTTCCAGGAGAGCACAGCAATTGCAACGTCCATGTTTCTCTCATGACAGGTTTACTTTAAGCCATCAGTTTTCTAGTGTAGCTTGTAGCATAAATGTAAGTGGTACCTAAGTGAATTATTCAGGTAGCAGGCATATGCAAAACAAAATATTCATTTTCACTGTGCAATAGTACAGTTCTAACACAATTCATAAGCTATGTTTACATTTCAAAGCTTATAAGAAAGAAAGGAGCCAAGGATAGGTCAGTGTCTGAACTAAATAATTCAGTTTACATGTGCTTTTTCAGTCGAGTATCCAAGGTCACTAGGAAACAGCTGAAGGTTTGAAAACAGTGAGCTAAAAAATAGCAGCAATGGGGATAAAGTGAAAGGGTGCAGATATGAAAATCACGAGCACTCATAAACAGATGCCGAAACCCTGTAATTCCTTTGCAGTTAAGCCTGCAATGCATAAATCAGAACAGAATTCTCACAAAGGAACATAAACATACACAATAAACGTAGACAAGACTGCAATAATTCATTGCGAGTCAAGTAAAAACTATTTTTATCGCTAACAGTGTGCTG